ACCAACCTTTCCCCAAACGTTTTGATGGGAGAGCCATTAGCTGCAATGAGCTGCGGCCCACAGTTCGCTGCTAGCCCGTCGGCAGCGGTAGGGGAAGGAGGCTCTTCTGGTCCACGAGAAAACGTCTCCCGGAGTGCGAGTCCTCTATGAAGAGCAGGCTTTCTTTATTGGCAGCAGTCGCGGCTGCTACGGCGCGCTGGCGGGTCCGTTTCCCTGGGCCGTGAAAGCGCAAGGCGGCAGGCAGCGACGCACTCTGTCGCCAAACGCTGATGGTAGAAACAGATGCTCTTTCCGCAGTGCCGGCGTGTAGCAATCCCTGTCGTCAGCAAGGGGGCGGATGCTCCGGGGGAGGCAGGTGGAGGCGTGGAAGGTGCCGCCGGCGGGTCCGTAGTCAGGGCGTGAACGTTGAAAGTGTGGCTAGCCAGGAGAATGCGATCCGCTTCTTCAGCCAGGGAGCGATAATCCTTCACTGGCTGAAGAAGCGGGGAGTTTGCGAGGACAGCTCTCACGGCGGCCGGTAGTTGGCGGAGGAAGAGGTGGGTGAAGAGGAAACCACCGTCATCCGGCCCAAGCAACGATAGCATGTTCTCCATGAGCTCGAGCGCGGTACCGCCACCCAAGCCTGACTGGTTGAGGAGCTTTTCGGCTCGTTCAGCGTCGGAGAGGGCATAGCGCCGAAGAAGCAGCTCCTTGAGGGCGTGTATTTCCCTTGGGCGGGTGGGTCCCGGAGGAGTGTCATCGCGCGACGGGTGGCCAGTGGGTCGAGCGAGGCCACCACATGGTGATACTTCGTGTCGTCAGCCGAGATGCCGCGAAGCGCAAACTGAGCCTCCACGTGTACAAACCATGACGGGGGTCATGGAGCCAAAAGTCCAGCAGTTTCAGCGCCACAGCGAACGTAGCTGCAACAGGAGGCGGAGGTCCGGTGGTCAGGTCCGGTCCATAGTGGAGTCTGCGTTATCTGCGGCCCGTTGCATGCTCGAGTCAGGGGTCACCAATATGGAGGTAAGCATCAACGACACAGAGCTCTCAGTTCTCACTCCTTCTTTATTAGTCTCCAACATCAACTGGGCATATCGCGCCACAAAACACAGGAACACACTTCCTATACACTGGGTGTGAGTGGAGCCCTTTAGTGGTCCACCACAGCAGTGCTGAATATTATTACACAGGAAAAAAAACAACTACATGTAAAATAATTGCACCATGACACCGCTACCTTTCTTAATGGAGTGACAGTAACTGCGTGTGTGTATGTAAGCATGTAAAACCTGAAGATAATCAGATTAACAGTATTTTGTCTTTATCCGCCATTGTAGAAATTCATCTCATGTAAACAATAACGTGACGTGAAAAAAGGCACATACTTTTAATGTTGGGTGACGAACTCTGTATTCCTCATCCACACTTAAACGCAAAAACTGAGTTTTCAAAAATCTCCAACCTGACAGGAGTTTTCAAAAATCTCTTTTTTTGGTTATTCGAAACCCCATTTACATGTGGACGAAAGGTCCAAACGCATGGAAAAAGCTCAATTTTCAAAAATACCCGTGTAAGTGTGGACGTAGCGTAAAAGAGTTTGTAGTTTATTTTTTTGCTATCTGTAATTTATTGCGGTTTACTTCTATTTGTTTGTTTGTCTGTCTACTAAATGTTTGAGGTGTGAAATAAACTGCAATGGAGTTGCGTTTAAAAACAAAATAGGGATGTGAGTGGCTGGAGGATGTGTTTGTGCCTGAAGGCGCGGGGAGGGGGTAGGTGGTGGTTTATTTTGGTGTAAAACAAAGGGGCCTAGCATAAAAAGTTTGAAAACCACTGCTCTAAGCTATTAGTGACGAGACTGGAGGGCATTCTGCCCTTACCCTATAAACCCTGATCAAACAGGTTTCATTTAAAACCAATTTTCATCTACAAATATCAGGCGATTGTTAAATGTTACACAACATTCAAATCAGACAAATTATAAAGCCTATGTCAAATCTTTAGATGTCGAAAAGGCATGTGACAGAATCGAGTGGACATACTTATTTTACATATTAGTAAGATTTGGCTTAGGACTTTATTGGATGGATAAAAACTATTTATGATCTCCCAGAAGCTTGTCTTATTACACATGTTGTACAATCACCAGCCTTCCCACTGCAAAGAGGTACGAGGCAAGACTTTCCTCTGCCCCTCCTCCTTTTTTGCACTAACACTTGAACTACCATTCAGCAGGATCAAGATGTGCATGATATAACAATGGGTGGAACAATCCATAAAATAGCATTGAATGCAGATGATATTCTTTTGGGGCGATCGTGGCTCAAGAGTTGGCCGTTCGCCTTATAATCGGAAGGTTGCCAGGCAAGACCCCAGGTGCAGGCTGTGTAAAGATGCCCCAGAGACAATCCAGCACATAACAGCAGGGTGCAAGATGCTAGCAGGCAAGGCATACATGGAACGCCATAACCAAGTGGCCGGCATAGTGTACAGAAACATCTGTGCCGAGTATAACCTGGAAGTCCCGAGGTCAAAATGGGAGATGCCCCCAAGGGTGGTGGAGAATGACCGAGCTAAGATCCTGTGGGACTTCCAGATACAGACGGACAAAATGGTGGTGGCTAACCAACCGGACATAGTGGTGGTAGACAAACAGAAGAAGACGGCCGTAGTGATCGATGTAGCGGTTCCCAATGACAGCAATATCAGGAAGAAGGAACACGAGAAGCTGGAGAAATACCAAGGGCTCAGAGAAGAGCTCGAGAGGATGTGGAGGGTGAAGGTAACGGTGGTCCCCGTGGTAATCGGAGCACTAGGTGCAGTGACTCCCGAGCTAGGTGAGTGGCTCCAGCAGATCCCAGGAACAACTTGGAGATCGTTGATTGTTGGGTTTTTCTCTGTGTTGTTACGAACTTGTATGTCCATGTGTTTGTTTGTGCAGGTGTTGTGTTTTTTCTATGTTAATTTAGCTGTGCCAGGATATACTGCCCCGGCGTGATTGGATCCAGCTGGAGGACCCGCCCATTAAAAGGAGGCTTGAGTGCTACAGCGAGGGAGGTCCTCGCGTTTCTCCTCATGACCCAGCAGTAGTCCTGTGGTAGCCGCTGGCTGCAGTACGTTTGAAAGTTGTGGAAGTGGAGTGGGTAGGGGTGAGCTGCCGTTTCTTTTGATCACCCATTTTCTCCTGTTTTGAGTTAGTTAAGGAGGTCAGACTCTGTCTTTATTTTTGACTTTGTTTTGGTAAGGTCTGTGTAGGTTTGTTTTGTTTATTGTTTTGGCCTTGGCTCACCCTGAAGTGTTGACACTCCCGTTTTGGTTCTCTTTATTCACATTGTAAATAAATCACCTCATATCTAACGGATTTGTTTCTCGTGGCTGCTTGGGTCTTGGGGGGGAAGCGAGTGCCTCGCTCATGTTATGGCCTGGCCCTAGACGGGTCGTAACAGTATCTATAATACATTTGGTGCTATATAAATAAAATTGAATTAATTTGAAAAAATCTGTCCAGAAGAGCACAGTCCAAGGAACAGCTAAGATGCTGTGCAGGACCCTCAAGCTCCCAGGACTCTGGTAGAGGACCCGAGCTTGAAGGATAGACTGCCCGGAAGGGGGAGCAGAGAATTTATTGTGGATTTTAAAAGTGACTTTCGAAATGATATTTCTTTTAAAATCAATTTTTGATTTGAAGTAGTCATTGATGGATAAATAATTGATAATATGGATGGATAAATAGTTGCTTTATAATTATTCTTTTTTAATTTTACATTGAATGATCATATAATGAATTACTCTACTACTGTCTGAATGAATAAAATAATAAAAAAAATCATTAGTAAATTAATTTATTAATAAATATTATTTGCACAATTCATTACTGAAGCAGAAAGGTTGATTTTGATGTGTTTTCGTGTTTAAATCTTAAGCAGATTTTCTGTAAACTGCCTATGTTAAATTTTAGGGGTTTGCTTCACATTTAAATCGACTGTGTAACTGCCTACACTAAGGCTACGTTCACTCTGCAGGTCTTAGTGCTCAATTTGGATTTTTTGATCAAATCCGATTTTTTTGTCTGCTTGTTCACACTACAAATAAAATGCGACAGCAAACGCGCTCTAGTGTGAACGCTCAAAGCGGCCGCATGCACAAAAGAAGACATCACACACAACGCGCTCTGTTTAGACCCAGAGCAAACAGTGTTGTTTGGCCTTAATATAAAGAATTCGGACTTTACGTTTCCCAATTTGTGCTTTAAGTTATTTTGTTATTTACATAATAATGTAAATAACCTAATAATGATCCTCATTGCTGTTTTAGAGGAGCGGTGCTTCAAAGGATAGCTGCAGATTTCTGTCAGAATCTGCAGATTATGCAGTACAAAGAAAATGTTCACGTTTCTCCAACGTTGTCTTCCCAACAGTTTCACTAACATCTACACTGGAGGGCCAGGAAGCGTTCACGATGTCTTCTCGGGCGCTTCTCTGGAGCTGATAATTAGCGTCTGTCTCGTGTCAGTGACGTAAAAGACACATTTAATGTGACATGACAGTTCAAACAGCAGTCGCTTTCTAAAACATTGTGTACATATCCGATTCAGTACCACATACAAAAGTGACCCAGATTGGATTTGATATTGGATTTGTGCCGTTCACACTGTCACACCATGATCGGATATGGGTCGCATAGGGTAAAAAAAAAAATCGGATTTGATGCGCTTTCACATGCAGTGTGAACGTAGCCTAATACTACAGCAGCCAGAGAAATACCAGATTGAAACAAGAGCTCTGATTGGTCACTTTCATGTGTTGAGACCTTAGTAAGTAAGTAAATAAGTAAAATTTATTTATATAGCGCTTTTCACAGATAAAAATCACAAAGTGCTTTACAACACAGAAAATGGGAATATAAAAACAATATAACAGTAAATAAAACTATGTAAAACAATAAAACTATAAAAACAGCATAAGAAGAAATTAATCAAATGCTTTTAGTGACATTACTTCAGACTGTTAAACTCTTACCTTCTGATGAAACTGTATGGACTGGTTTTTCTTGTTTCTCCACAGCGTGTGAAGGTTTATCTGTTGGAGGAAATTAGAAATCATGAACAGGTCTTTGTAAGTGTTTTCATTTTTCATGATTCATGCATGATTTTTATTTATCTGTGTGTGTGTGTGTGTGTGATACAAGATATGCTAAATTTTATAGAGACACAACAGCAAGGTGTAAAAAGAATAGAATAGAGATTCAGTTTATAAATATACTTCATGAAAATCATTTCTCATGTTATCTGTACACCACACCAAGTGTTTCATGTTATTTCTTTGACTGACTTGTACGAGTCTTGACTTTGTCCAAAATCTTTTGTGCGACTCCCAAAGCATTTTCAGGTTTGTATTTATTGATCATCAAATTCACTATTTCCAGTTTATCAGCTGTCTGAAGATCACTCTTTGGGATGGCTGGTAAACCATCCAGTGCCTCAGATTTCTGTAGATACCACTTAAAGAGCTTCAGTTCCTTATCGCTCAAATTCCCAAGTGTTTCCAGAAGCTCGGTCTGCAGACCTTCCTTCATCTTTGCTCTGTAACAACACAAGAGTACAAATCTGAAGAAACTGGAAAGATCAGAGTCAGAGAGTTTTAAAGTTTAAGAAGCCAGTGTGTTTGTTTAATCAGAATCCCCATTAGCATAAGCCTTAGCTTTATTAATCCTGTGTGTCACTCAATCCAACACCACAACAAAAAACAAGCAGATTCTTAACAAACAGATAGCAATTCATTTCATATCACATGAAATATATTCCAGCCCTAACTACAGTGGATGCAAAAGTATTCGGCCCCCTTGAACTTTCCCACATTTTGTCACATTACACAAACATGAATCAGTTTTAGTGGAATTCCAGGTGAAAGACCAACACAAAGTGGTGAACACGTGAGAAGTGGAATGAAAATCAGACATGATTCCAAACATTTTTTACAAATAAATAACTTCCAGCTGCCAGTCTTTGAGGGTCTGTCTCTACCAGCTTTGCACATCTACAGACTGAAATCTTTGCCCATTCTTCTTTGAAACAGCTCCAGCTCAGTCAGATTAGATGGGCAGCGTTTGTGAACAGCAGTTTCAGATCTTGCCACAGATTCTGGATTGGATTTAGATCTGGACTTTGACTGGGCCGTTCTAACACATGGATATGTTTTGTTTTAAACCTTTCCATTGTTGCCCTGGCTTTATGTTCAGGGTCGTTGTCCTGCTGGAAGGTGAAGCTCCGCCCCAGTCTCAAGTCTCAACTCTGACCAGCTTCCCTGTCCCTGCTGAAGAGAAGCCCCCCCAGAGCACCATATCTGACAGTGGGGATGGTGTGTTCAGAGTGATGTGCAGTGTTTTCTGCCACACAAAGCGTTTTGCATTTTGGCCAAAAGGTTCCATGTTGGTCTCATCTGAGCAGAGCAGCTTCTTCCACATGTTTGCTGTGTCCCCACATGGCTTGTGGCAAACTGCAAACGGGACTTCTTATGGTTTTCTGTTAACAATGGCTTTCTTCTTGCCACTCTTCCATAAAGGCAGGGCTCTAGACTAACTTTTTGCCATGGGCGCACTGGTACGCCTAACTTTAAAAAGTTAAAAAGCACTCAAATTTTTCAACCGCATTACTTAACACCACAGTTTTACATGTGCACTTTTTGGGGGGGGAGTTGCAGTCCATACAGACAATATTCATTTCTAAATGATTAACTAACAAACTTGTGCTTAAAGTGCTTTTTCAATATTGTAGAAAATGTTCAACTTAATCATCACATCGGCTCCTCTGACGACCTGTTTGCTGCTGCATGCTGCTGAAAGGCAGTGGGGAGAGGGGACACTTGGGCAGTGCATTTACTGCAGCATTCAAAGATTGATGGCACTGTATCAGAGCACCGGCTATGAATTTCAGAAGGATCAGGCCTTAACTTAACAGAAAAGTTAGCAATAGTTCTTTTCCTATTACAGCTACATCCACTCTCTCAGGCCTAGGCTGCTCACTAGGGCTGGGTATCATCACTGATTTCTATAATCCTTTCGATTCCGGTTTTCAAAGTCCTGATTCGATTCAACTTAGCCTCAGACAGTCAGAAATATTATAACTCTGATCATTTATCAGTACTGACTTCATCAGAATTGTGAACATCACAGCAGATGCCTTTGTGTGAAAGTAACTGAGAATAAAACAGAAAAACATGATGGAGATTTTCCTGGTCTGGCTTTTTATTGCAGATAACCTTAAAATATTCTGCAATAATCTGTAATTTTGCATAATTTTAAGAAGTTTAAATTTCTTCAGTATTGAACAGCAGAAATGAGGCTTTCTTGTCCGAGGTCATTTAAGTGAAAAAAGAAAAAGACAGCGCTGTAAACAACGGTAGACTGGTGGGTAATAAGCCAATGAATGATGCAGAAAACAGAGATTTGAAACTGTTCCTGAAGTACACACAGAGAGCTGTGCATGAAGTGTGATTTTTATCGTGGTGGAAGCAAAACAGCAAAAGTCAGAGGGAATTCATGACGACATGGATCATGTGTGAAGCGCAGTTTGCTGCTTCTTTTGCTGCTGGCTCGGTGGATTTTGGTTGGAGAGACAAAACCTGCAGCTCAGAATCAGCGCAAAAAGACATAATCACAGCGCGGACGCATCAGGATCGCTGAGCTCCGACAGCGTGTCCGTCTGCGGGCCGTCGGGTGAGAAAGCCGAGAAAGACAAAGCTGATTCTGATGCGTCGGTCTGTGTTTACGTCTTTGTGTGGAGTCCGTGTACCTGCTCTCATCTGCTGTTTGGTTGTTGTTGAAATGGTTTTGTGAGCTTTAATCTGAGAATCTGGCATTTCTAGCAAAACACAGTTATATTTAAAAGTCGATTCAGGATTTAATGAATCGATATCGATTTCTTCAAGCTACTCACCTCGCTCTTCCAACTGGACTTTCAAGTGCCAACTTTGTGCAGTGCACGACTAATAGTTGTCCTATGGACAGATTCCCCCACCTGAGCTGTAGATCTCTGCAGCTCGTCCAGAGTCACCATGGGCCTCTTGGCTGCATTTCTGATCAGCGCTCTCCTTGTTCAGTCTGTGAGTTTAGGAGGACGGCCTTGTCTTGGTAGGTTTACAGTTGTGCCATACTCCTTCCATTTCTGAATGATGGCTTGAACAGTGCTGCGTGGGATGTTCAAGGCTTGGGAAATGTTTTTGTAGCCTAAGCCTGCTTTAAATGTCTCAATAACTTTATCCCTGACCTGTACTGTACTGACATTAGATTACACACAGGTGCTCTCTATTTAGTCATTAGCACTCATCTGGCAACGTCTATGGGCAACTGACTGCACTCAGACCAAAGGGGCTGAATAATTACGCATACCCCACTTTTCAGCTATTTATTTGTAAAAAAAAAATGCTTGGAATCATGTCTGATCCGAGCCCATTGTTCCTTCAGTGGGCTGGTTTCAGTCATTATGCAAATGTACTGTTTATAAGATTTGGGGAAACCTGCAGTCAGCTGAGACTGAAGTCACCTGGATGAGTGACGAAATGTTTCTCCCACAAAACGCTACGTCCAGATTAACAGATTCAAATTTTGGAGAGTCATGCATGATTTTCGTTCCACTTCTCACGTGTACACCACTTTGTGTTGGTCTTTCACCTGGAATTCCAATAGAATTCAATTAGGTTAGTGGCTGTAATGTGACAAAATGTGGGAAAGTTCAAAGAAGCCGAAAACTTTTGCAAGCCGCTGTATATGCTTCATCAAAACGAAAGCTTCAAGCCATTCAAACATGTCATAAGTCATACTCTAAATAATACAGAGTAAGCGGTATGTGCTGAGGACAGAGTCAAAGATTGGTAAATAAAACTGAAAATCTTAACCCAAATGCAGACATCTTAAAGAAAAACACACCTCGATTAACAGGATGTCCAAACAAAAGGCACAACAGACAGACAGCAGGCAGGAACACTCACAGGAAGAAGCCTAACAGTTTAACAAAGGTTAGTACCTAAGCAACAGCAAGTAACTCATACAAACATCAACTGAAAGTAAGTGAAACAATGGGGAAGGCAGAAAACAAGAAGATCAAAAACAAAAAAATGCATTAATATAATTCAAATCAGAACTATAAATAATTACACACAAATAACAATAATAATAATAATAATAGCAGCTTGATTCAAATGTAATTTACATTTACTATCAGGTAAAAATTACTAAAAACATTACCATCAAGATAAAGTGACACAGATCAAATTAAAACATCCCATCGTATCTTGTAATCCAATGCCAACTACAGGGTGGGCCATTTCTATGGATACAGCGTAACAACATGGGAATGGTTGGTGATATTAAAGTCCTGTTTGTGGCACATTAGTATATGTGAGGGGACAAACTCCTCAAGGTGGGTGGTGACCATGGTGGCCATTTAGAAGTCGGCCATCTTGGATAAAACGTTTTGTTTTCTCATTAGGGAGAGGGTCATGTGACACATCAAACTTATTGGTAATGTCACAAGAAAAACAATGGTGTGCTTGGTTTCAAAGTAACTTTACTCACATATACTAATGTGCCACAAACAGGACTTTAATATCACCAACCATTCCCATGTTATTATGGTGTATCCATATAAATGGCCCCCCGTGTACTACTTATATTAAAGTAACATGTATTATAAAGTGTTTTTGACTAACAGCTGCAGCAATAGGTACAATAAATTAATATTAATGAAAGTAGGGTTAAAATACAAAAGATCTGCTTTAACTGCATCATAAACATTTGGATCATCATGTAAACATATATGTTTTATACACATGACATCATCAGCCAAAGACCAGAGGTCACTGTGTGAGAGCAATAACAGGACATTTAATATCAGACATTCATGTTTCTGTGTAACTGACGCTGACCTTATGAAGCTCTGCTACAAACCTATGCAGAGAGATCCACACCTGTTACAACTTTACATGTCCCAGCACTACTCTTTAATATTCACATAACCACTAGAGGTCAGTGTGAGCAGAGGGAGGAGCTCAGCTAGATGAGCATAAGTAAAGACAAGTTTAATATTCTCCTTGTCTCTCACAAAGTGAAGGAAAAATGAAAACTGTTAGAACCCGTTTGATGCCTGAGAGCTGCAGTGGTTCTGATAAAGAGTGAGCAGTCTGAGATGTCAGTGAGCAGTAACAAGGAGAAAATGTTTGCTGCCTGTTGAACAGAAACACTTTCCACGACAATTGAAAGCTGAATGATCAGAGAGACTTACAGCAGTGACGCTGAGTCCTGGTTCTCCTCACAGATCCAAGAGTTCACAGAGTGGAGCTGAAGACTTCACCTCACCTGAGCTGGATCACCTCACAGGCAAACACTGACACAATAAGTCTCAGAACTTCCTGTCAAGCACAGCAGGCTCCACCTCTAAAACCAGAATGTTGAGTTCTTTCAACGAACTGGTTTGATCTGTTTTCCTGCAGTGTGAAACTCACACAGTTAACTGGTTTAAAAACACTGACAGACAGAGGGAGAAAAGCCTGGATGGTCACAGGGGTCATGGAGAGGTCCATCAGTACTGCAGAGAGCATTTCCCATCATGCAGCTGGATCTGTTGATCTGTACACTCAGAACCTTAAAACCTCCCAGTCTTAAAGTTCTTCCAGAGTCCTGTGAATCATATCTTCACTGTTTTCTCCATATATATACACACTGTAGCTGCATGGCAGCAGCTTTTGACTCGTTCTTTCTGTATTCAAAAGGACTTGCCATTTTTAATAAAACCAAATGTGTCTGAATGATGCAATAATCTCTCTTTGCAGCCATTCAGACACACCTATCTGGTCTGAATGTCATTCTGATGTCCTTAACCTGTAGAATGATGTAGACAAGAAGGCAGCAGCATGTCTCCTTGATGAATTTCTGCTTTGAATTTTTGGGGTATTTTTTGTTTTTTACTATTTTAAATGGATTTCAGTTTTTTCCAAGTAGCTTTTTTAAGAGTATTTTAAAGCATTCTCTAAATTCTTGGAAAGTGGTCTATTTATTGGGACCTCTGCTTCTACCAGAAGTTGTCTGCACCACACCAGGGCCTGTGCTGCTAGCATAAACCAACTGAACCTCAACAGCGCCTGTGCTGTTTGCTGAAGCCATCTCACTGCACCGGGCGGGGCCTGTGCTGCTGGCTGAACCAACTTTATCTGTGTTGCTAGTGGAAGACATCAGCACCACACCAAGGCCTGTGCTGCTAGAAAAAGCTCAGGTGCATTACATCGGGCGCCGTGCTGTTGATTGAAGCCCTCTACACCTCATTGGCCACTGTGCTAGCAGAAGCCCTCTGCTAGCAAGCCACCAGGACCTGAGCTTCTGGCTGGAGCCTTACATGCCATCCTAGGTTTGTGCAGCCTATTTAATTCAGCATCAACAATCATTGTGTCTTTTGGACAATGGCTTTCTTAATAACTTTACTTATTGGATCTGGGGGACTTTGGGATACTCAATTTTTCTAAGATGAGCACATTTAACAGTGTCCCCATTCTGCGAGACATGGTCCCCAGAGCTACATGCGTCACTGCTGCTGTGCATCCTATACAATTTTCAATGTATTTGGAACAGGACATGAATTTATCATTTGACCTACACAAAGATTTACCTCACCTCACGGTACGGTTTGGTGACGTCACCGTGAAATCCAGCATCATGACTTTAACATTGAACAAATCCAGTCCGCACAGGCTCAGGGACAGACTTCATCCTTTTACTTTAACCATGAAACATGAAGCTGTCGCTCATAATGAGACAGGAGCTCAGCGTTCAGCGTCACAGCTGGAACAACATCAGCTGACATGAAAGAAACACCAGACCCCCACCGTGCCGGACCAGGCACGGTGGGGGTCTGGTGTTTCTTTCATGTCAGCTGAGAGTAAGAAATCAAGGCTACGTCCACACGTACACGGGTATTTTGAAAACGGAGATTTTCTGTTTTTGTTTTTTTTTTGTGTCCCGTTTGGATCTTTACCATCAGAATTGTTGTCTTGAGGCCAAGAAAGATGCCAAGCGGATTTATTTTACCAAGTGGATCATCATGGCCTTGCCATATTGGTCCATTTGATTGACCTTTATTATAATTATGAATTTATTTTATTTTCAGTTGCAAACGGGACAGACATGACTGTGGGATAGGACAGGGGGAAAGAATGAAAGAAAGAGGGGGAGAGAAAGAAAGAAAACCAAAGGGGAGAAGAGACGGTGAGAAGGGGGGGAAGAGAGAAAAAAACACAAACAACAAAAAAAAAAACTCCTGGATCACCTGTATGGAGAAAAAAAAACAGAGGAGACAGCAAACAACAAAGAGCAACATAATAATAGAAAAAAAAAGCACCATCACAATAAACTAGCTAGTCATAGATATCAATAGTTACTAAATAATAAACGATATTGTGCAGCACGCAAGATAGACAGCGCACAGTGTGCTTTGAGGCAGCAGCCAAGAAAGCTGTAGTCTGCGTCTGTGAATACCCATGTGTACACCTGTGTGCATACCTGTGTGGATCAGCATGCTTGCATTCCAAAGGTTTCTCCATGTAATGATCTGCTAGAGGGAGTGTGGGGGAGCCATAGCCCCGTCCTCTATGGTATCAAGCAGGTATGGAGGAGATCAAAACTCCAGACATCCAGAGGCCCCCAGAACACAAGAGACCAAGGAAGACCCACAGAGGGGCTTCACTCCACATCAGCCGCTTTGCTAAAACACCAGTGTTGCCACATAAGGACGCTGTCATCAACCACGTTGATTGGCTGCGTATATACGAATCGCATCATTGGCTGGACTGTGGGATGAGGTGGCATCGTTCTAAACACATACGAGAGCAGCCAGTCACTGACTAACACTGCAAAACTGAATTGTTGAAGTTTTAATTTTAATTTCAATTCAGGTTCTATATATATATATATTTGTGCGCAGCGCAGATTTCCTATGCGCAGAGACGTGCCAGCAGCGCGCGACTGCGCACATGCACAGCGTAGAAGGAACGTTGGTCGTAAGACTGTCATTCATTTCCCACCATATGTTAAAATTATGTACATCAGGACATAAATGAAATTTTCACCAGATTTCATATTGAATGTTTGCCTTCATTCACAGCACAGAGACCAAACTGGCAGCATGTCAGTGTCTGACATTTATAGTTGTCACATGAGCAAATGCGCCTACCTTCAAGTATCTGTCATTCAACTGAAACCATTTTATTGGAATTTCTTTCATTCATGTATTAGTCACATTGTTTTATTGTGAAAAGCTTTGGTGCCACTGGGTTTTAGCATGTTTGCCTCACAGCCTATTCACGCAGCTGAACAGATGGTATCTGGGAAACAGGAACATTCACACAGGAACACTCAGCAGGTGTTGTTGTTTTTTTAAAGGATGTTACCTCCCACGCATCATTGTCCGCATTTATTAAATGCAAACTTCCATCACACCATCCTGCTGCACACTCCTCCAACTGCTGAGGCAAGAAACATGAGAAGTAAAATCCTCAAGCGCTTTCCTTGTTCCTCTACAAATGCCTCATATTGCACTGAGGTGCAACAAACTAACAATGCCTGTGGTAGCAAACTTCACGGGACCTTTGATGGTGCGGCAAAAGGATGTTCTGAACATTTGGTTTGGGATTACATTAATGGCAGTAACGTTCAAATTTATGAGTTAAACTTACAATTTTTAAAAAACAGCCATCAATGAAACACAAATAGCATTTCTTCAGTTGCCTCCAACAACTGGATTTTATTAGTGCTGATAAACAGTGCAGAATATTCAAATTCATTAATCTAAATTAAATTATTATTAATTAATTTTACATGTCTGTTAATGTACATTGCTGCTAAACCATTATTAAAATGCATAACTCTTTTCCTCATAATTCAGACCATCCATTTTCATCGACTTACCCTTGATAATGTTAACGTAAAGACACTTCACGAGGAGCTTCAGATCGTGTAAAGTCCAGTGCTTCTTTATCTGCTGTTATTCCGGTGGAAAAAATGCTATTTCGTTGCTTAAAATGATGATTTCTGGTCTTTTCCAGAGGTTATCATTGCATTTCTCAGGCAAAAGGCGTGGCTTCATCAAATAAGTCCAATCGCAAACTAGGTAGGAGTTTCTCAGCTGTGCAGCAAAGGTACATCTGCCTTTGATTGACGTGTCATCCACCAATAAAAATCCAGCGTGCCACTTCATCATAGTCCAGTTTGTGAGGGCGGGCTGAGACGCTTTGTCAGCAGTGATGTCTCGCTATGTGCGGCGTGGCCCCAGGAGAGTAAATGGTTGCTCACATAAAAATACACATTCAGAATCTGAGCGACAAAGTTTTTAGTTTTATGTTTAAATGAAAAACAATGACACTGCAGAGTGTTACACATGAGCGGTTTGTTTTGTTGCATATGTAATTGGTCTTTTATTTTGGAAAATCGTTTGGGAAGGAAGAGGTTTTAGTGAAACCCAGCTGAAGGGCTCAGGTGGGTAAACCACATGCTGAATAGAGCTTTTTACATGTCATTTTGCAGGTGAGTAGAAGTGTACAGTCGCGCTTTGTTGTATCTGTATCTGTGATCTGAGGTCAGTCTGCAGACACAGCCAGGAGCTGAGCTCTGATTGGTCCTCTCTGACAGTGGGATGATGATGATGCTCAGTGTGAAGAGCACAGAGGGTCGTATGAACATGCATGATGCTGATCCACTAACATGCAGACACAGGTAAAAGTAAAACAGCTGATGGATCATGTGATCAATGCAGAGTCTGCAGCAGACAGAAGAAGAAGAAACTGAGAGGACAACGCTCCATCGTTAGTTCATACATGAGAGACAGCTTCAGCTGTTACACTGAGCTTCCTGTTTCACATCCATGGAGAAGGACGAGCTGACGGCAGCCTCCTCTTCATCATCTCCAGCTTCATCGCATCAGACTGGCTGACTGTTCAGTGGATGAGATTCTGCAACGTTCTTCTTTCTGTGGACAGACAGACACAGACTGAGCTCTGGACTCTGAGTCCAAACTGCACCTGCAGGTCCTCTGGTGTCCAGCAGAGGACCTGCAGGTGCAGTTTGGACACAAAGGTGTGTCCATGGTGTACATGGTGACACACCTTTGCTCAGCCTTCAGTACAGTTAATAAACTCAGCAACTTGGGACTCAGGAGATTGTTCTCCAGTCCACACCAGTAACACCATTATAAATGTGCTGATGACACCACCATCACAGGACTGATGGACAACAGCGATGATTCAGCATCTGAAGCGATGGTGTGACGACAACAACCTGCATCTGAACACAGCCGAGACCAAGGACATGATAATCCACTTCAGCAGAACAAAGGATCTGAGCACTCCACCCTCTACATTGATGGAGGAGGTAGAAAGGGTGGAGAGCTTCAAGTTCCTCGGAGTCCACATCTCGGCCGACCTCACCTGGTCCACAAACATCTCCCACCAGGTAGGGAAAGCACAACAAAGGCTGCACTTCCTCAGGAAACGGCGTCAGGCCCAGTTACCCCAGAGCTCCACCATGAAGAGCCTTCTGACCTCCTGCTGCACACTCTGCTTCAACTGCTGCACCGTGGAGGACAAGAGGAAACTGCAGCGGGTGGTGAGGGCAGCAGAGCGGCCAATCGGCACCTCACTGACCCCCCTCAGAGACCCCGCCCCCCCTTCCCTCTGATAAACACTGCAGGTCCATCAGGACGAAGACAAACAGACTCAACAGAAGCTTTTACCCACAGGCCGCCCACCCTGCAGCCTGATTGGAGGATAACTCTGCTGCCAACACTCATGGACATCACACCTCATTTATACATCATATCTGTATTTACACTATAATGCCACCAACATATACACTGTGTTTGTTACAGTAGCACCCCCCCTTACTCACTTACAGAAGCACCCCCCCTTACTCACTTACAGTAGCACCCCCCCTTACTCACTTACAGTAGCACCCCCCCTTACTCACTTACAGAAGCACCCCCCTTACTCACAGAGGCCGAATCAGTTATTCAGGCCAAAGTGTCATCAAACAGATGAATCACAAACGTGGACTCACCCTTTAGACACACGAAATGAAGGCAAGCGCTGGGCCGCCTTGTTGCGTCTCCCGACTGCAGCTTTAATGGTCGTCATCAGGGGCTCTGCAGAAGAGAAACACAGCAGTGAAGCTAACGAAGCCTCAGACTGAGGGTCATGTTGTCATGTGATGGTGGGTCAGAGGTGTCTCTCCCTGCTGGATGACAGTTACCCAGCATGCCTCTGGGCTCACACGTGTGTGCAGAAGCATGTTAAAGATGATCCCTGCAGTCAGCACTCTCACAGTAAAAGGTTTCAGTACGAAACTTCATGCAGGAGCTGACATCAGCAGCTGCTGCCAGCTCACTCTCTCACTGACCTTTGACCAGGAGCGGCACTAGCTTGAGTTTCATGGTGTTCACAGCCCTGTCGTGGAGGATGCAGAGGTAAACTCCTCCATCTGCACAGACGGGGTTCCTCAGGGTCAGGCTGAGGTCAACTTCAGGCCGATTCAGCTGGTCGGTCTTCGTCTCCTTGGGTGGGAATGACTCCATCTCTGCGCGCTCTCTGTAATCTGTGTGCTGTTGGTCACGTTTGATCTGACCGTTCTCAAACACGCACACCTTCTTGTTTTCATGCGTCACAAAGAACCACTCCACTTTGACGACCTCACCCAGGCAGCATGTGTGTGTGTAGGGCAGCAGGACAGACGGCGCCCCCTCCATCACCTCCAGTGGTGTCAGCTGACCCACTGTGGGCAGAGCACAGGGACAGACTGAACCACAGCACGGGCAACAGCTGCTTCTCCACCCGTGACCATCACATGAACAGCCCGTTACCATGGCAACACCTCAGCTCACCATCATGTCATCAGTCATTAATTTCATATCATAATAATAAACTGATGAATGATTTCAGTTTGTAATCTGATAACAATGAATAACTTATAATAATTTAACAATAACGCAGCTTTGGTTTTACTCTGACTGTGCTTTTATTTTGAAACATCAGGGGTTGTGTCCATGGAAACAGTAGCTCATGCATACTAACGCTGCTGTTGGTTGGACCTGGCTACCGCATCACCTCCACCTCACCACCTAACAGCCAATCAGCTACTGGTTGATGATGTCATTCAGGCTGATTGGACGTACAGGAGCCGGTGTGGAGGTCAAAGGTCACAGACTAGTTGCAGTCACACACAGCCTCACCTGTCATGAGCTTCTCTCTTTGTGTCACGCGATACAGGAGGAAGAAAACGACAGCACCGAGGAGAAGCACAGGAACCAGGACAGCGGGGAGGACTTTGGGCCAGACAGGACGTTCTGTAAGGAACACAAAGAAGCAGAACATCATCCTGTACGACCTCTGACCTCTGATCATGTTCTCCTATTTGACCTTCTAGCTGAGCGCTGCTGAACCACACAGACCTGTTTAACCAGTCAGTGACCAGCGTCTGTGCTGCTGATGGTTGAAGCAGCACAGACGTCCTCTGTCTGTGACTCCATCCTTTCTGGACCTGACCTTTGACCTCATCAGGGTCAGATCCACAGCTGGAGTGAGGGTCTGAAGCTCTGTGACTAATGAGGTCACAGAGACTGTTCATCAGCATCCACCTTGTGTTACAGGCGGATGCTGATGTCAGCGATGACATACTCGTTAAGGTTTCCATGGAAACACAAACCTGCGTAAGCCTCTTCTGTGTAACTGAACGTGTTCACATACGTGAAATATTTCATGTTGCTGAACTTTATCTTTCTGAATGCGTGTGATATGATTCAGTGTGACCTTTGACCTGAACCTGCAGCACTGACCTTTGACCTTCAGCTGGACTTCAGTCCTCTGCTGGTCCGCTCCATGGCTGCGGGTGACACAGGCGTAGGTCCCACTGTCGGTGAACGTGGGCTTCCTCAGAGTGAGGCTGAGGTCTCTGGTCTGCAGGGTGTCGGCGGACATTGATGTTCGGTTGGAGTAACGCTCGTTTTGTTTGATGAGGTCTCCGGTCTGCAGGGTGTCGGCGGACATTGATGTTCGGTTGGAGTAGCGCGTGTTTTGGTTGATAAGATCATCTTTTCCCTCCACGATGGCGTGAACGATCTGAGAAGACAGATCTTCGCGTTTCCACACAATCGCATGATCCTTAGGAACAACCATGTTACAGGGCAGCAGGACAGACTCCTCCCCCTCAAACACCTCCACCCCTGATGCATGCTGGGACGCTGAGGACACAAACACAAGTTTAATCAGTGTGGTTTCCATGGTAACCTGACAGCGTGAGCAGGTGAACAGTTACCTGCAGCTGAGCGTGGGGCTGAGAGGAGGAGATGTCAGGAGTTTATCAGAGAGACTGAACACGTCTGAGCCACAAACACGACATGGTTGATAAAGACTTCCTGTGTGTGTGCGGGACAAACCGTGTGCACTGATGGGAATCTGTTTGTGTCTCTGTGTAGACGCAGTTAGTAAACTGTGCACCCACATCTGTTACACCTGCAGATGTTCTGTCTGCTGGAACATCTGGAGCATAGCTGATGTGCTGCAGGCTGTGAACAGAAGCCCCGACACCTGCTGGCAGCTGCAGCTCCACCCTCCTCCTGTCACAGTAAACTGCACAGAGGGGAGGAGCTGCTGAGGTCAGCACGTCAAACAGATGTGCAGCGCAGACACACACACACCAGCAGCTCCAGATGTTTGATGAAGCGCAACTCCATGAGCTTCCTGCCACAGCAGTGGCTCACACTGCGAGTTCCGCCCAAACATGGCGCCCACAGGACATAACGTAAATCACCAAGAGCAGCTGTGTGTGTGTGTGCGTGTGTGTGTGTGTTACACAGAGAGCAGTGTGTGCATGTAATCTGCTCTGAGCCTCGCGCGTTGGTGACGTGTGTACAGATATGATCAGAGAAAAGTAGCGCGGTCACGATAGCGGCGCGTTAAAAATCTTTGCGCGTTTACATTCGTATTTACGGCTCCGCGTGTGGACGCAAACGGGGAATTCATGGTGCGTTTAAGTACCGTTCGTACGCATGTACGTATGTTTAGCAGTAAAGCTTCTCTTCCAACTGTATCTCTAGTAAATGGACAACACTCACAAATATTGATAATAATGCTAATAATCATAACCGCTGTTTGTCCCACTCACAACTTTGATTAACTGGAAATTGTCTTGTAGCAGGTTAAGGTAACAACATATTAGCATAAAATCATTAAGCAGAAACTAAAAAATTATCAACAAGTACAGATACTGTCAGTAAACTTCAGCTTTCTAATAAATATATGATCCTTATTCCAGTAAAATATTTAAGCTGTGTGGCATCAGGAGATGGATTAACTTCGTTATAACTTTATTATTGTTTGTTATTATTTTGAAAACAGCATCTAACCCCTCAGTGTGGACGCTGCTCTAAGAACAGTACCGACAGACTTATACAGCTTCAAAATAAAGGAAGAAGCTACTCTCAGCTTCTCCCTCACCACAGCACTGCAGGTTTGATCTACACAGGATGAGTTTCTCGACGCAAAGCCAGGATAGGTTCGTGTCTCCGCCTGGAACTGACGCAGTGACGTTTTATTAACCGCTACATCGGTAGAAGACAGATTTTCAAAATAAGAGCAAATGAAGAAAACATCGCCTTTTTGAAATCTCCATAGATATCTGGGGTTTACGGGGTGCACTCAAATGCACCACAAATTCGCCCTTTTTACCGTACCACGCGATATAGATGCCCAAGCACTTTTTAAGACTCGTTAGCTCCCAGCTCCGCGGTGACAAAGGGCGGAAAACTTACCGAGAGCGAGGATCACAAACAGCGCACACATCTTCATCTTCATCATGAATCCAGCTGATCGCCTTTAATCTCTCTGAACTAACCCCGCGGCCACATCGCGCTCCTCCGTCTCTCCGCTGACGCACTGCTAACGAAAAGTAGTTCTTCTACTTACACCGGAAGCGAATCTGGGCCATCGGAGCGTCAAATGACACTTTCAAAATAAAAGAACGCAGTTTCAGTGGGAGAAACATTTCTGACCTCCCAGCCCATTGTTCCTTCAGTAGGCTGCTTTCAGTCATTGTGCAAATGTGCTGTTTATAAGGTTGAAACCTGCAGTCAGCTGAGACTGAAGATGTCACCTGATGAAACCAGCTCACTGAATGAACAATGGGCTGTGAGGTCAGTTCCTTGATCATTAATATTGTCATGATCATTGATCAGTGGCCCTGGATACCCTCCACATACTTGGGGAATGCTTTTTTATGGACTGGAGCATGTTCTTAACAGATTCAGAACATCATCCTCATCATCACATCTACCGTGCATTCAAAATGTAAAGCAAACTTAACTCGCTCTAACAATAACCAAAACTTCCATTGAGAGAATATTGTGAAATCTGAATGTTTCCTTTAACTTGAGATCAGAAATGGAAAGAAATGTTTGCGTCAGTTACATCACTTCTGTCATGGTCGTGCAATCAGACCGTGTGGAGAGATTAATGGGATCCAAGTGCAGATAACTAGAGATGGCCCGTGTGAAGCTGACGCCCCGGCACTGTGTCGAGGCTTGATTCGTTTGGCCAGAGTCAGGTGATCAGTGACATCCTTCATTTAGAGCACAGTCAGGGATTCAGTGGGAAGTGAATCATTCCTGGGATCTGTGGAGTGTTTTGATGGTGACAGAGTCACTGATCATCCTACTGGAAGACACGGAGCCAGCGAGGCAGAGAGGAGCTTCTGTCACGCATTTTCAGTATTTTGAGCTGACTTTGTTCAGGTGGGCTTGCCAGCTTTGTGTACTTGTTGTTCACTTTTGTTTTGTGTGTCTTTATTTATGTGAAAAACTTGTCTTTGTGTCTATATGTGAAGAAAATGTCTGAACAAAGCAAAAATCAGCTTTTCACAATATAAATATCATTAAATAACTTTAGAAACACAATTTAATAAAATAAAATATATATTTTATTTTTTAAAATAAGCTTAAAATGTTATTCTACAAAATGTGCAGCAACGTGTTTGTTCTTTTTTATCTGGCAGTCTGTGGGAGAGTTTCTGCGCTCCAGCGTCTTCTGCTCATGTGAGAGGATTTCCTCTGAGGCAGGAGAAATTATCTCCAAGAAAAGAAACTCCGCCGTCGCACAGTGGAACAAATTCTTTTCTTAAATAAAAATGAAAAGGCTTACCTTAAAGGCGTCATGCTTTTACTTTACAAGTTTTAAAGTGTTTTCCTTTTCCGGTTCACGATCAGTTCGACCCCCAGGCCAAAAATATGTAGAAGGAAGTTGGCCTAATATCACATTTATAGACATACCTGTCCAGCTGTCCAGTGATTAATTGCATAAGAACCTCGCAGCAGAAGCATACTCCATAATGTGTTGTACATTATGTGTATATTATATGTGTTTTTTATCTATTGTATTTACCAACATCAAGAAGTCACAAGCAAAGAAAGACCACAGCACGGTGCACGTTTCAACAGCAACGTTTATCAATCAGATTTATTTATTAAACAAATAAACATAACAATTCGCACAAAGGTGACCCGACATCAGGCAGGATTGTGACCTCCACTCTACAGAGTGGGAGGTCACAGTGCTTGCTTCGGCAAGCGCGTACGCTAAATTGGATACGATACAGAGAAGATTAGCATGGCCCCTGCGCAAGGATGACACGCAAATTCGTGAAGCAGATTCAAGCTGCGCTTCATATTGTTGGCCACCAGAGGTCACCAGAGAGGCCTGTGCTGAAACGCTTTGAGCAATGAACCGGTGTTAGGATCAAGCTTCAAAGCTTCAGAAAGCTTCATGTGGCCATACAGCCAGCAGAGAGACAGGTGCAGGTTTAACAAAAATGCCTTTATTTGGGCTGCACAACAACACTACGATAAACTAACAAAGACGTAAACTGGGACAGCTAAACGCAACGGTGTGAAATACAAAGAAAGAAACAAATAACACAAAAAAATCTGAAACTAGGAACCGGCGGCACAAAAACACCTGGGATGACATGCAGGACGATAAACGGACAACCGGAGAAGGAAAAGAGGGAAACGCACTAAAAATACTCAAGAACAGGAACACAGCAACATGGCTGCGATTAATCACATGTGACAAGGCGGGCAAGAGAGCAAAGCTGAGGGCACTGACACAAAACACCGACTGTCAAAGTAAAACAGGAAATACAAGACAGACGCAGACTTGACCCTGGAGCACGGAACCATGACTGGAGGAGAAGTGAGGCGCGAGAGCAGAACAGAAAGCAGGAACACCAAGTGTAGGACAACAAAACCATAGTACAGAGAACGAAACTTCAGCCAAACACACAAAACACTGGTAACAAACCCAGGACAACCTCCACTAATGTTGTGTTACAAATAATTTCTTCTTATGTGCACGTGGCCTTTCAGTCAGTCCATGAAAACAGAACTATGATGTCCAAAGCAAACAGCAAGAGAATGTCTCCAAACAGGCCTTGAAATAAAATTGTGGAATCGTGTGAATATACAGCTCTGTGTGGAATGTGTCTGTGACTACTTTGATCCATGATGAACATGTAGTTGCTGCTGTCTGCACCTCTGTTTGTGTCCTCGCTGGCAGGAGAGTGGATAATAATGACTTTAAAACTGTCACAGTGGATTTTTAAACACACAAGATGAAATGTGTTCTTTCAGCAGACAAATCCACAGCATGCTAACATCTCACATAAAAGAACAAAGGCTCGTCAGATAAAAAACTGACTGTAATGTCATAGCTCATACAGGTGGTGTCTGAGGGGTCCAACACTTGGGTCATCTTTAGTGCTTCATGTGCTTTCGCTGGGTTTTGGGAAGGTTGGCAGACCTGTGTGGGAACACTTGTTTTCTAACGAAAACACCAGAAACCAAACAAACCCTGTGGTGAAGGACACCTGTGTTCACATTTAGGACAGAGAAGATGGTTTGAAAGAGGAGCGAAAGAAGCCATCTATGTGCACTGTGAAAGGCCCCGCCCTC